ATAAGCATATTCCTTAGGAGATAAGGATTACAACAATAAAGGGGATGATTATCCTAATCCTATAATGATTAGGATAACTACAACATATGGATAAATACAAGGGAGGATAGTGACTGATGCTTGGCCGCCTGGTATGGTACTGATGTGGTCTGGTCCATTTCCGGATATGTCCCAACCACCATCTTCATTTCTTAACAAGAAACATCTTATGATATCCCTACAAACACAAGTAAAAATAATAATTTTAACAAAAAAATGAATTAAAAATACTAAAGTTGACTTTTTGGTGTCTAAATTGTAAATTTAAGTTGACTTGAGCTTTACTGTCTCCTCCTTTGAGTAATAGATGACGTGCGGAGTACGTTACTGAAAGTTCATATATTTTATTTCCAGGAAAATGGGAGAGGAGCAAGTACGTGGGAGTATCACTCGTCGGAAAAACATTAGCCATAATGGGTTTCGGAAAAGTCGGAACAGAGGTGGCAAGACGAGCCAAGGGACTCGGCATGAACGTTATCTCCCACGACCCTTACGCTCCAGCAGACAGAGCCAGAGCTCTTGGTGTCGAACTTGTCTCCTTCGACCAAGCTATCTCCACCGCTGACTTCATCTCCCTACACATGCCGTTAACTCCCGCCACCAAGAAGGTTTTCAACGACGAGACCTTCTCCAAGATGAAGAAGGGAGTTCGTCTCATCAATGTAGCTAGAGGCGGTGTCATCGATGAGGATGCGTTAGTTAGGGCTCTTGACTCTGGTGTTGTGGCTCAGGCAGCTTTAGATGTGTTCTGTGAGGAGCCACCATCTAAAGAGAGTAGATTGATTCAACATGAGAATGTTACTGTCACACCTCATCTTGGAGCTAGCACCAAAGAGGCACAGGTACATTACATACATACACTTAGGCCTGCAGGTTCGGTTATGTAGTTCGGTTCAACTAAAATCCCACCGTATTGAACCGGAAAAATATTCGGTTTAGTTTGGTATTCGTTTTTTTTTATAAAAAAAATTATGGAAACTAACCCAAATTTTTGGTTCAATTATATTTCGGTTAAAAATTTAGTTAAAGTAGGTTAAATTCGGGTAATTTCAGTTAGTTCGGTTTGAAACTGGTTAACAAATATTTTTTTTTTTGAACAATCAAACTAACCGATTACTGAACCGAAAACCGAAGTTGTTTTAAGAACCTGGCGAACTGAACAAAACTCATAACCAAACTAACCGAATTATCCAAAAATTCAGATTTTAATGTACCTCTTGTTCTTGACCTTATTAGGAAGGTGTAGCCATAGAGATAGCAGAGGCTGTAGCAGGGGCATTGAGAGGAGAGCTATCAGCTACTGCAGTCAACGCTCCAATGGTTGCTCCTGAGGTTTTATCCGAACTGGCTCCTTACATTGTCTTAGCTGAGAAGCTTGGAAGGTTAGCTGTGCAGCTAGCATCTGGAGGTAAGGGAGTACAGTCCATTAAGGTTGTGTACCGTTCAGCTCGTGACAGAGATGACTTGGACACTAGACTACTCCGTGCTATGATCACAAAGGGAATCATTGAACCCATCTCAGACTCTTATGTCAACCTGGTGAATGCTGACTTCATAGCCAAGCAAAAGGGTCTCAGAATCAGTGAGGAACGAACCGTGGTTGAGTCATCACCAGAGTACCCTGTTGACTCCATCCAAGTTCAGATTTCTAACGTGGAGTCCAGTTTCGCTGGTGCTGTCTCTGATGGGGGAGCTATAAGTATTGAAGGGAAGGTGAAGTATGGAGTTCCGCATTTGACTTGCGTTGGTTCGTTTGGTGTGGATGTGAGCCTTGAAGGGAATCTGATACTGTGCAGACAGGTGGATCAGCCAGGGATGATAGGGCAAGTAGGTAACATACTTGGAGAGCAGAATGTGAATGTGAGTTTCATGAGTGTTGGAAGAACGGTTGTGAGGAAACAAGCTATCATGGCGATAGGAGTTGATGAAGAACCAGAGAAGAAGGCACTTGAGAGGATTGGTGGTGTCTCTGCGATTGAAGAGTTTGTGTTTCTGAAACTATGAAAGTTTGATGGAATCACAGTGTGGCGTCTGAGAATAATCTGTGACCCGGATTTAAGGTGTTTTGTCCAGTGGTCAAGCTGTAGAAAAATGTGTGGGATTGTGATTGAATGTGAGTCTCTTGGTACTTTGTGATTGTTTTGGCATTCTTATGATATGTGATGATGCTTTTGGTTAATGTTGTTTATTGATATCCATTAATATGATCTGTAACCACTATTTTGATATATGAACTTAGCATTAAGTAAGCTTAAAGATCTGATAAACACTTACATATATGATGTAATCCAAGAAGCCTATTTTTATAGCATAAATCAAAATTGTTGGGAGTAATAGATTACAGTAACAAGATAGGCTTATACAAATTTGCCTATCTCAGTATGTATTTAGCCGGTGCTACCAGATAGCTCACCGGAGTAGGCACTACCATACGATGCAGAACCAGTTGGTGTCTGTGATGATGTGGAGATCCCTCGCGCCTTGCGCATTTGCCTTAGTCTGAATACATCTGTAGGTAAAGGCTGGCTTTGTATGGAGGTAGTATCATCGTCTTCTTGCCCTGTCAAGAGAGAGATTTAGATAACTCACTTCCATGAGCCAATATTATTTACGCGTGGACATAACTATGGGCAAAAAGAGATCTTACTATCTGAACCTTTTCTCTTTGTAGCTCTTCTGTCTCTTGGCAATCTTTGAGATCCACCTCGGTTTGGACCTGAGGGATCATTTTGACTTGGAACATTGCCTTTAGCAGCAAAACCCTGCTTGGCAGTTTGACCTGTTGGTAAGTCACTCTGCAAACATATTGAAAGAACAACATCCACATTGGGTGTTGGGCCGTCAACATGAGGCAAGTTAGCTAAAAAAGCTAACAATGCAGGTGGAGTAGTCTTTGGTATTTCATCATATGTGCTGGCTGAGCCATGAGTTGCAGTTGCTGTCACATTACTTGGAAAAGTGTTTGACGCAGAAGCTGCTACTGGTTTTACAGAACTAGAAAACTCTACAATCAAATCATGGATGGTTCAGATTTAGTTCACAAGTCACATTCATCTTGCAGCCAAAATGATTCTACAAACTGAATACCTGATTTCTTTGTCGGGTCATAGACGACCATCTGAGCTGTATCTGGATAAACAACTTTTGATGAAGAAGCTACACTACCTGGCAGTCCACAAGGAGGTTTACTTACATTAGTCATCACCAAATTTTAACATAATCGATACACGACAGTTTAAGTAAAAAAAAACTACAGACCTATAGTGGCAGGTCCATGAGGTAGGTTTGTCTTCTCTACTTTCTTATTCATATTTTTCACAAGCAACTGTAGTGAACACATCAATCAGTTAGAATTGGTACTTACTTAGATGCATCGTCAATAGTTACTCAAGCTAAATGTGATATATATTTGCATGCATGGGACATACCTCTTGCCTGGATAAATGATCAAGCTCTTTCGAAGTGCATGGCCAAAGATCCATGTAACTGTACCGAGAAACAACATCTTGAAGTGAACCATCTAGAGCAGGAGATCCCTCTTCCCCTTTTCCGAAAAGTGCTTCTTTCCTTCTCTGCTCAACCTACAACAAGGTTGTCCAAGTTTAAAAAAAAAAATCTCGTAGTGAACACTATAAAGATACTGTCCTAATTGATTTGACAAATGATTTGAAAGACAGAATTTATAGTAAAGAGTACCTTTAGAATACTAGCAAGATCTCCATATGTTTGCTCAAAATGAACGAATCTATTCCAGACCTGCACAAGATGATGTAAGGAAAAAGTTAATCCTATAATGCAGTTCATAATTGCTACAAGTGAATTAGTTGCTCAGTTATTTTCCTTGTGTCTCTTTTCAGGCTTAAGGGTCTGAGAAACGTAACAGCAAACATCACTATTAGCCTACCTCAGCAGATTCTTCAGTGGGTAGTGTGCTTAAAGCCCGTTCAAATAAAGCTCTGATATTTCTATCATCATTCAGTCTAGTCAAGAAATCTGCATACCTGGAATTCAAAGCAAAACCAAACGGGTTAAAACTTAAAACTGTGTTTAGGGAATGCTTTATGATTGGGAGAGAGAACAAGTTTGAGGATATCTTTTTCTGCGAAGGTCCCCCTAAGGTCTCGTTATTTTCTTCAATAAGAAAGAGTTTCAATCACATGTTGAGAAAAAGAAAAAGGAATTCTTACTCAAGGATGTAAACGGGTTCTGTCATATAGCGTTTCAATCCCTCCTCAAAGATATTATGAGCAGCCTGCGTAAGAATTTAACATATTCATTTTCTGTAAAACTGAATAGAATTTGAAATTAGAAGCCACACTAGTATATTTGTCTTAAAATATTTGTTAATTTTTTTAAAAAAATAATCGAACAACAAAAACACCCCGATATTCAAATCTATTGACTTCATTATCATAAAATTATCATGAACTTGACTGAAGGACCACTACATCAAACTACATCAAACAAAATAGCAGTTCTGAAACATAGACCACAAACCTACCTTTGGATCCTTGTCAAGACAAAAGGCCATTGTAGCAAAAGCAATATACACATGATATGTACAGCTAGGAGATTTTCTAGCTTCTAGAAAGTACTTGCGAGCAGCTTCAACACCCTCAGCCCTCCGGAGAAAACGAAGGAACTGTGAAAGAATATAAAAGCATTATCATAAAAAACGTTTCCGGAGAAAGAAACAATCCAACAATGAAAACCGCAGATATGCTCTTTTATGTCAATTCTTAGCAGTTCAGAGTTCAGAAAGTAGAGTATTCTTACTTGTATTTGTGCCAAAGAGTTTGTGCTAACCCCCAAAATGCTTTCATATAAATTCTTTGCTGACTGCAAAATCATACAACTGTAAGCAAAGAGTATGCGAATAATTGAGAAAGCTCAACCAAGTAGCAAGAATGAAAACCTGAATAGCTCCACGAGCTTCCTCCAACTCAGCATAAGCATATTTCAACGTTTCCGAATCTGTGTGAGTAATGTGAACACTTAAATAAATAAAAAGACTCGCACCATGCAAACAACAGAGAAAGTCGATTTCTAAAGAGTAGATCAAATATAAGATTAAATCTATAGCAAAGAGTAGTAGTCAAACATTCACAAGCAACTAGTTCATAGACAAAAAGATAGATCAGATTTACCAGGAATGGCTTTGAGGGCTCGCTGAAATACTTTGATTGCAGCCTCGGTGGAACCAGATTTTATGTGCCACTCAGCATAGTCATACCACACATCGGGATAGTGGTATAAACACATCAGACACTGTAAAACCAGAGTAATAATCAGCCAATAATGAACGGACCACATTTGGGAAATTATTCCTCCTAAATTTCAGCAAAAGCATTTCACTGTACCTGTTCATAAACATATATAATCCGCTTAGTTGACAAGGCCGTGTCAATCCTTTGAGGGTTTCCTCTGAAAATTACAAGTGTATTAGACGCAGAAGTTTATTATAGCTTTTGATTTTGAAGATACCAGGCGTTCATTAAGTAAAATGGCTAATCAGCTATGTAAGAACATATGTAAACATTGAATGAAGGAACAGAAAAATATAATATTTGGGAGTTTACTTCTCAAAGGTTAAAAACTTCTTCCAGGCCACCCATTGAACTTCTTCCTGCATAAAACCATAAGGTAGTGTGTAATACACCAAAGTGAGCCAATGATGCCCAAAATTGAATAATGAAAAGCTTATAGCTCGGTATGTATTATTATATATCTTCATAGCCTGATCTCATGACGCAAATTTATGCTCACAGTGTATTTTTAGCCAATTTAAGAGTCAATATCTCCAATATTTTCGAATTCAAAAAGAAGACAGATAGATTCAGCAGTCCCAAAAAGAAGCACTGAATGAGAAATGATTTACCTTGGGAGATCCTGTTGGTGGTACAGCAAGCATGTTCCAATCAATGTCTTCAATGTACTTCTTGCGCTCCCTATAGACAGCTCTGGCACTGTTAAACTTTGGTTGATACTCATTTACAAGTCCTTTGGCCTGCTCAAAGGAAAGATTTGATCATACATCAACACGAAAAAAGAAAGAAGTTTGTACCAGCTTCTAATACATTAAAAGGATAAGAAACCACACAAGACTTGTAAAACAAAGGTATACCAATTGACGGTTAACAGAATTCTCGAAGCTCTCATATTCTTTCCAAAGTTGCTCAACGTGGTGAGTAGGAGTTAATATAGCTCTCTGATAAACTTTACGGAGAGAAATCTTCCGTTGCATATCTTCGTGTGGGTTAAGAGCCTGCAAGAAAATCAATCAATTTCTCTGCAATAGCATTTAATTAGAGAATTAAAGGACAAAGTAAGAGTGATATAACGAACCGGAAGCGATTTCAGAAAGGTAATGTACTCGGTCCATATAGGCCCAGATGCTATGTCTGTCCCTGCATATTTATACACATCGAAATAAACGACCATCGTTAAGAGCCATGTTATCTTATGTATTGGCATGTTAAACAGAAACTAGAGCTCTAAATGGATGCAATCATGTCAAGATTCGAACTACAAGACACAAACGTGAAAGAAGTTTGAATGCACACAAGCTCTTATAACTAGCACAAATACACAGAACAGTATCCACTACTGACAATCCAAAAATTCCCCTCTATTTTATCAGACAGGTACACAGGACAGAAATGAAGAAAAAAATAGAGCCAAACTCCTGAAGAGAAGCCATACCAATATAATTAAGCGTAAACTCAAAAGCCTTTGTGGTCTCCTCTTGACCCTCAGCTCCCTTCTTATCATAAACCTTTCTAATGAACCGAATGTAACATTGCCTAAGAAATTAAAATGAGTGAATTAGACTCAAGGAGATGGAAAGCAAACTTGCATTGTACCTAAGCAACAATGAGACAGAAAGATCTTATAAAAACTTTTAAAAAACGAAAGCAATTCATACCAAAGGGGAACTTGAAGACAAGTCAACAAGCAACGACTAAATATCTGTTTGGTAGCATCATCATTGCTCACAGCCATTTGTGCCTCCACATACTGCTTCCAAAACCTCGCCTACACAAATTAAACAGATACCCACTTAATAAAAGAGGAAACTTTACATCACAATCAAACTCCAAAACCACAAGTACACGCCAATGTAAGCCACTAGAAACTTACAGAAGTGGGATACAGTGACAAAAGCTGCTCATAAATCGGCGTCGCCTGTGCAATAGGTAAGTGCTGAAGAAACCAAACAATTGAAAAAAGTCAGAAAATTTTCAATACAAGTATAGTAAAAAACAGAGGAAAGAGTTTGTACCAAGGCTCTCTTGGCTAAACCCTCTGCTTCCTCGACGTTGTACTTATCAGCCATAACCTCCAAAAAACTACAATCTTTGAGCTTTAATCCGATAAACAAGACTTCCAATTCACTCAATGGTGATACAAAGAAAACCCTAATCTGAGATTCAATTCAATCCTCCGCCTATTCTAACCAAAATCTTTCTACTGATTCAACGACATAAGTTTCGCCTCCCAAAAAAGAAGGATCCGTTGTAACTTAGATCGCAAGAACGGTGTTAAAAGTAAAACCCTAATCTGAGTTTCAACAATAAAACAACTCCTCCGACGAGTCTAGCCAAAACACGGTGACCGGCGATTAAACGGAGAGACGTAAAGAAAGCTCGAGTCTTTTTTTTTGTGTGGGTAATGTAATTTTTTTATTTTTCCGCGGTTCACCTGTGGGGTCGGAGTTGGACTGTCTTAAATAAAACAGTAAAAGTCAAAGTAAGGGTGTATTTGTCTTTTTACTATTGTTGTTTTTTCTTGTTTTGTTCTTTCCTTTTCTATTGTTACAGTTATTTTTTTTACTAAGAAAAGAATAAGAGTCTAAAATACCAAAAGAAATTAGAGAAAGTCTTACATTATAAACATAAAAATCTGATTAGTAAATAAGAAGTGATAAATTGAATCATTCTAAAATGTCAAAAATAACCAGAGAAAAATATATATTTTAAAACTAAAAATCTGATTAATAAATAAGAAGTGATAAATTTCATAACTTTAAAATATCGAAAGAATTCATAGAAAGTCTTACATTATGAAACTAAAAATCTGATTAGTAAATAAGAAGTGATATCACAAGTTTAAAACAACCATTAAACTACCTTCTACCAGTTGACATCACAGAAGGTTGTCTTCTTAGTGCCTAAGACTACATTCTTGTTAAATCTGATCTCGAATCAAGGCTTTCTCGTAGAAGGTTGTATTCGTACCAAAGCTTATCTTGAAGGTTGTAGTTGGGTCGGAAAGGGTATTGACGACCTTTCTTAGCCACACTAACAAAAAACCTAGCACCATTCTTCTCTTCCACAGCCTTCGTTGCTTCCTCCGCAGAAGCAAACTCAATAAAGCCACATCCCACACGCTTACCCTTTTGGTCTACAATAAGTCGAACACTAACAACTTCTCCAACATCTTTGAAGAAATTGATGATTTGTGATTTTCTTATGTCGAGAGTGATATTGGCAACAAAGACCGTCTTATCTCTCACCGCAATTTCCTCTGGAGTTTCCTCATCAAGTTCTTCCACATCGGAAAGAAGGCTTTCTTGTCGAAGATAGTCTTCATACCAAAGCTTGTGATCTTTACAATGGTTGGGGTGTGATCGACGGTTCGGACCAGTCTTGACAGCTTTAAGAAAAATCTTGCAACCATGCAAAGATTCACCGTTCTTCTTTTCCAGGGCCATCTCTGCTTGGTTAGAAGAAGCAAACTCAACCACACAAAATCTCAAACGCTCATCCTCGCTCTTGCCCTTTACAAAACTTCGAACATGAACAACTTCTCCAACATCTTTGAAGAAATCGATGATATCTGATATTTCAGTTTGGGACGAGAGAGAGTCAACATAAAGGGTCTTATTTCTTACGGTCTCAACAGAAGAAGTAGGGGTTTCATAAAATCCTCTCATCAAAAAAATCTCATGATCATGCAAGTATCGACGATTCTTTTTTTCCAGAGCCTTATTTGCTTCCTCAGCAGAAGCAAACTCAACAAAGCAATAGCCAACATGCTCACCCTCGCAGTTCACAATAAGTCGAACACTAACAACTTTAGATCTGAAGAAATCAATGATATCTGATATTTTAGTTGTTTGCGGAGAGAGATTAGCAACAAGGACTACTCCGTCCTCAACTTTTGCTTCGCTTTCTTGTAGAACAAGGTAATCATCATTTTTGTAGTACCAAACTTTGTGCTCTATGCAGTACTTAGTAGTGTATGTATCTACTACTTTCTTAAGAAAAATCTTACGGTGCTCAAAATATTCACCGTGTTTCTCTTCCAAAGCCTTATCTGCTTCGTTGGCAGAAGCAAACTCAACAAAGGCCCAGCCCACATGCTTCCCGTTGTAACTTAGCGGAATTCGAACACGAACAACTCGTCCAACATTTTTGAAGAAATCGATGATATCTGATATTCCACTTCTGCGAGGGAGATGGCCAACAACTAACGTTTTTCTTCTTACGGCAGCTTCCTCAAGTCCTTGCACTGTCTCCTTAGGCTCCATGGTGAAAAGATGGAAAAACAGCGGCGGTTTTACTTTCCGTGAAATTTTGAGTGCGGTAATAATAACTTTATAAACTCATAACCCTATATTAATTGGTTTTGTATTCGTTTTTCATTATTAATTGGGTCTACACTATATAAGGGCCCAAATCAGGCCCAAGTTAACTTATTAAAGAAAAGAGAAAAAGAAACTTTTATTTATTTTTTTCAGGCTCGTTCTTCTTCGTCAAGTCTATTTCTCGGGTCTGTCTCTTTTCTTTCATTGATCTTCATCTTTATCGGTGTTTTAGGTTTTCCTTTTTTTCTTTTTCGTTTCTATCTCTTTGCCTCCTCATCTCTGTCTCTCACTTTTCTTTCGTTTAATTCTATGCGCGTAAGAATTTTACTATCCATGTGTTTTTTATCACGATTTCGATAGAATTGTCTGGTCTCTTTTGTAACAAATTTAAAAAACCTTTTCCGACCAAACTGGTTTTTAACAACTTGGTCTGATAAAAAGCATCTCTGTATAAGAAGCTGTTTCGAAAGTTTGAGACTTTACTTCTTTAACTTTATATTGAAAGATTCTTGTTTCAGAAAGGTATTTACTTGGGATTTGGGTGTTGATTTTCAGTGTGTGTGAGAGCTATGAATACAGAATCCAAAGGAAGAGGATGGTATGGTAAAATCTACCGCAAGCTTGAAACCATTCTTGTGGAGGTGGACAGTTTAGCTGCTCAGGTACCTTTTTTTTATGCTAGCTTCTAAAGTCTCCGAGAGTACAAGGAAATGAAGGTTCTGTTATCTTTTGACAGGGTAAGGTTTCTTTGAGTTCAAGTGATCCTCCAGGATTGGATTCTCTAAGGGATGATGAACCAGAGAAACTTACAGAGGAGGGTGATTGTAATCAGAAAGCAACCGCTTCCCTTTGCGGCAACAACGATCCAAAGTCTTCTCAAGCATGTAATGATGATGCTTTTGTATCTTCCTCTGGGAATTGTACGGGTGATTCAAATCTAATCCCGCTTGCTACAGAGACTCAAGCTGGTCCTGGTCATGATAAAGTTGCAAACATGAGATCCTTTAGCAGCAACTCTATGATGGGTTTGTCTCTGTATTGCTCATAAGTTTTGGTCTCTGCAGTTTTGTTAGATTCATCATGTGTTTAGGTTTTGATGTGTAGTTAATCAAGATGAGTTCTTCATTGAAGACTTCGATGAGGCTCCATTGGATACTATTGATTTGTACGACATGACATTTCGAGAAGACCCTTCAGATTTTGACGACAACTTGCTGTATGCAACTCGTGACAGGAGCAGGCAGCACAGATCATTCAAGGTCCTCTCTCTCTCTGTCGAACAAAACCTCTCTTTCAGCAGGAATGGCTAGTTTCAGAACAAAAGTGATCATAGATTATAGTCTCCTCATCCTGTAAATTGAAATACTGCTCTTCGAATCCATTGATACCTAATATGTTTCTTCTTTATCATAATAATCAGGGAAAGATAATGGATGCTCTAAATTCGAAAAGAAGAAGAGAGAAGGAATATGAGCAGCTTGCAATATGGTTCGGAGATGCAGAAATGGGCTGTGATGCGATGAACACTAAGAAACATGAGACAACATCTCTAAACCCCAAAAGCTCAGAGTCAAACGTGCCATTTGCATCAGAAGATTCTGAGTGGGAGCTATTGTAATGATAAGATTGTGACCCCATCTATGCATGTTTAACTGTTATATTTTTTGTGAGGCTCATGTGATGATTTGAACAATATATAATATATATACTAAGATCAAATCTGATTCTAATATGGGAAAATCAAATTTTTGCTCTTACCATTTCTAGTTTCTTTTTACTTCTCTAAGCAGTAGGATTGTTTCAGTTAAGAAGCAATCAAGTTTTTTAGATCAATGATAAGAGACGATTACATCTAAAGCTTGTTCATTTTTCTGTACAGTAACAAAAAACCTACTACAGAAAACAATCCATACCGGCAAAAGTCATCCACTTAGAAATATATCTAAGTGTGCTAGTGAAAGAGATGGGCAACAACATGACAGCACTGACTCTAAAGCTAAACACTTTTTAAACTTCTCAGCCCTAGTTACCCGTATCTGATCCACGTCCTGAGGAGCTGTCACTGTCAGAATCTGCAAATCAATTTTAAAAAACCGATGTGACTATGTGAGTCAAGATGCTGATAAAAGGTGAAAGAGCTGACACAGAGTTTCAGCACTTACCACTAGAGCCAGACCCTGTGTCACTGCTAGAACTATTAGAACTACTTGATCCACCTGCGTTATTTTCTTGCCGACCAGGAGATGACATGCGAATTGCTTTTCCTGGTTAGAACAATCATTATTCCATTGGTTTTTCTTTTGTTGTGTAATTTAGATACTAATCAACTTGTGAGCTAAAAAACCTTACCTGATTCATTAGCTCTAAATGTTTCAGTGCCAGATGCTAGAATAGTCTGTGAACGAAGAAAAAGAACACAATGATATTAGACAAAGTAATTAAGATCAAATAGACCTGCAGCAAATAACAATTTAGCTACGGAAGGGAAGTTTACAGGTTCTTGGAGAGTATCGTGTACAGACTCAGCATCCCTCTCTGAACCAAACCCCTGATCCTCCTTTTTATTGCTCAAGCTCTCCTTATACCCAATCACAAATCTATAAAGCTCCCAAAGCGTTTGAATGTCAAGGCTATCAATATCCAGCTCAATCTCATCATCCTGTTGCGAGAGCTCAGGATTACTCTTCTTAATAATCTGAACAACAGTCTCTAGTTTATCATAAGGCAAATCCTGAAGCTCTTCACTGAGCCTCCGTTTCTCATCCATCGTCAAATCCCTAACATCAACAGGCGCCTCTTCCTCCTCTTCTTCAGGCTTCTCAAGCGCAGTAGTAGTCACAGTTTCAAGCTCCACAGGCGTCGTCATATACTCTTCTGCTCTCTCCAAAGTCACCATAGGCGGAAGTGTAGGAGGAGGAGGGGAAGGCGAAGGAGCTGGTAACGGCTCCACAACAGGAGCAGCAACAGGACGAGGAAACGCAACGTCGCGAGTCGTCTTAACCTTCCTACTCAGATTATCAAACTGCACCTTAATAGAACCCCACTTCTCTTCAAACATCTTCAAAAAAAACTTAGCCATACTATGCACCTCATGCCCAACAGGGTTATACAAGATAGCATTCTTAAACGTAAGCCTCACATCTTCAGCAAAATCCAACGGAGACTCATACAAACCACTCCCTAGCTTCCCCTTAACCGTCCCCAAATCCATAGGCTCCTTAACAATACTATGGTAATCATGCAAGCCAAGAACTTTAGCATCCACGGGGACATTAAACACCCACCCATCCTTATGCTTCATCAGCTTCGTAAGCAGAGCGTTGCAGCTCTTGAATATCTGAACAGTGCCTTTCTTGTTAACTCCCGTTTTCATCTTCTTGTTTTGGGTATCGAAACGTGTCATCAAGCTCCTAACTTCCTCTAACTCAGACATTAGTTTCCGTTTCAAGTTTCGAACTTCGAGCTTGGAGATTGAGGTTAAGCTTACCTTGAGCATTGGGTAGTCTTCTTCCTCTGGTGGAAACGAGTTTGATCTAGCGGCGGCGGAGGCGGTCACCATCGGTTTGGATCGGTGGTTCTTCTTCTTCTTCGAAGCTCCACCACCTCCTGAGATGTGATCAGAAGACATTTGAATCTAGGGTTTCTCTAGGGTTTTTTTTTAGGTTGTGGGGAAGGAGATTGGGGAGGTGTTGACGCCGAATCGGAGGTGGGTGAGATTGAAAGAGAGGAGCTTTAACACCCAAATCGATGTTGATTTTTGCAGGAGACGGAAACCCTAAGGGGGGGGGGAAGAGAGTCGGAGGTGTAGCGAGAATTGGGTGAGGTCACGCGTTTGATGTAACGCGTTTGAGCATCCGAGATATAAGTGGAAATAAACACATGTTTAAATGGGAAAAGGAAGATATAATTGAGTGGGAAATTGTGAATTTTAATTGGAAAAAGGAAGTGGAACCTCTAATTTTATTCAAAATTAACTGGGAGAAATTGTAACAAATTTTCTCCATGAAAGATTGGAAAATATGTATGTCACAGTAATAAACCTTCATTATGAAAGTGGTTAAATCTCTTTCAGATTTTTATCATTAGATGTACTAATATTGTATCACAATAACCCTTGTTTGGGAACGCGCTAGGCACTAGTTGGGAGATTAGATTAGGTCTTACACCGAACTAATTAATCGGAGATTAAACAGAAATAATACAGAGTGTTTTTAAATATTTATTTATATATACTTATATACATTGAGTATATAAATGGTTATAGACGAGATTCCATAGCTTTGTGGTTAGTTCCATAGGAAATAGCGTCGCAAGTCGTGGGTTCGAGTAGGGAAACCAACTTTTTTATTCAATTTTTGTGATTTTCATTTAGTGAAAGTAAAATGATATTTTTACCCTCATTTTCAACTTCAATCCTGCGATTTTCAAATCTGAAAAGTCGCGTTTTACATTCTTTTTTTCTACAATTTCACAGTTTTTGTTAACTGATTCTTGTTGCTTTTGTCTAAATATAGTAGTTTAAGGCACAATCTATTGTTTAACTCTTGAAAATTCATTTTTTTAGTTTTTTTACGAACCACCACCTAGACTCACCGTCTATGACCTCCTCGCTACGGTACTCCTCCGGTTACTATTTAATCGGCCGAGATCGTGGCCAGGCGGCATCTTTTCGAACAAGGACTATAACTAATTCTCTTAAAATATGATAATCAATGTCAAGATACCAATTAATTTAAATATAATTATATTTCTAGTTAAAAAGTGATACCTATTTTTTGAAAAAAATTCATTTGTTTCTCTAAACAAATCATAAAAAATAAAAACAAGGAAAACAACTCATAAGTTTCATTTTGAGTCTCTTACAGAAGAAACCATCATTATTTGTACACTCGAAAAAAAACGAAAAGAAACATCTACATTGATGAGTTGCTATATATACTTGTGAAAACAACTAATACGGACGAGTTGCTATATATACTTGTGAAAACAACTAAGACTGGAGTATTATCATTTGGACCTACAAACTCTTGTTCACAGAGAAAAAGTTGTAGTCATGGTGATCATGTATGTTAAGCTGCTTCAGCCATGATTCCGCTGCATTTCCAAGATAAACTAGCCGTTCTTGATCACAAGATTCTTGATTCCCCCACAAACCTCCATGCGATTTGTAAGTAACTAAACCAAATGGAGCCAAAGGAAGTCTCTTGATCACCACTGGTTCATTATCACAATGCAATGTTTCTTCTTCCGGGGTTTTGTTATTCTCATTATCTCCCTCAGCCAAATTACCTAATAAATCCAACATCAAAACAACTAAGTATATTATTAAAAGTTTTTTGGCAATAATATAAGAGTATTGTATACCTTGTAAGGCCGAAGACAGTGTATGGTAACTCAAGAAACATGTTGACAAGTCTTTATCGGTCTTCCTAGATGGAATATGGTATATAGGGTACCTATACACGTAACAAACGCTCAAGACTTCGTCGAGGTCTGAGGCCTAAAAACACTTGCAGTCCATACTTACCAAGCAATGGCCATCCAACTTGCTGGAGACAAATCAACACTCCTTAGCGTCAAGAGTCGTGGATACTTCTCCGCTAATTCATTAACCTAAAACAAACCAAAAACAAGAGAGATTTTTTCTAAATTATTAGCTTCTTTAGGCACGATAATAGCATGCATATAATTAATATAAATAAAAACCTTGATGGTAAGAGGAACCCTCAAGTGTGGTTTAGCTGACTCAAAGTACTGGAACTCAAGGTAACCAAGCTTATCTCGCATCGACGGTGAAATGCTATCGAGTTCATAAACTGAATTATCAGAAACGGAATCCCATACTTTGCTAGAAGAACCACTGCTCGTTGACCTTGACAACTTCTCAATCTCACTGTCGTCACTCCAACATTCACTCTCAAAATCAACCACCTCACTCTGATTCCTGAAACAAACCATAGAGTATTCACTCGTAAAATTTTTGTAACACATAACACAATCTTGTTCCCCACCAGTTACACACATAATCGATCAAGACCTGGAAATGGCTGGAGATTTGCTAGTATAGGTTTGAATGGCTGAGAGATATGGAACATAGTATTGCGTAACATATTCGCCATTGTTCAAAACGACCTTTGATCCAAGTCCATAAGCACTTATCTCACCAAACCATTCCCACATATCACTAAGCTTGAAATATTCAGATTCAACTTTGCTCTCTTGTATCCATAAACTATTCAAATCACTCTCGCAACTCTGCATGTCCACAACAAAAAGATCAAACTTATATTAGTAGCTTATATAAAGTTCATTCCTAATCCATGTTTTAGTGATAATGCTAATTATTATACCCACTAAGAAACATTGTATTTCGACACTGTATTAATTATGTCACATGCTATTAGTCACACATTTAATGACAAATAATTGGTGAAAGAGACAGTTAAAGATGAACAAGACCATATTTAGAGGATATACCTACTCATCTTGAATATTCAAACCAATTTCAGTATTAGATATTTTTTTATCAATTTTTAAATATAGTATCACTTTCAATACACGATTTGCTGTCGTATGTTTCCACGTGGCGAAAGAAAGCTTCACAAATGGCACGAAATATTTTTTTTTAAAAAAGACGAGAATTAAGGTAAAAATATTTAGTTTGAAAACCTGAGAATATGCTTCAAGGGGATTCTTTAAGGTTGATAGTGAAAATAAAATAAAACTCGTACCTGTGATAGAGAGAAAGAAGGGGGCTTTGGAGTGATACCTCCAAGAAGCCTCTCCAGATTTGATCCGGCTTTCGTCGACGGTGATGAGCACCACATTCTCTCTCTCAGCCTCTCTGTTTTTTATTATGATATTGAGTTTCAAACTTTTTCAGAATCTAAGAAGTACAGAAATTTTGTAAGATCCCTTAACAACCATAGAATTTCTTGTTGTGGAAATTTTTAAAAAGCTAGATACAAGGACGACCTAGAAAGAGCAAAAGAAAAGAGAGACTAGCTACATAAACAACTTCTTTATCAGACAACTATACATATACAGCTTAGGAAGGGGTATAAAAAGAATAATGGTCTATACTCTCTTGAAAACTGAAAGATGAACCAGAATAAGTTTACTAAATTTTAGATGAAATCAGTGAGAATCTATGGAGAATAAGGGAAGAAGAAGTTGTAGCAGAGTGAATGTTTTTGAGTATGGCTTGCTTCTATTTAATGGAAAATGAAAGAAGAACAAGAAAACGAACACGACCAAAAGCTTCTCTCTCCTCTCACACTTTCACTCTTATCTTAACCTAACAATCTATTTTATTTTGTTAGCCATTTACCACTACTTACCAGCAGATTTTTATTGGGAGAATTTCAATTATCTCTTTTCTCTATCCTTCTCAATATTTTCTCTCTCTTTTTTTTTATATAAAATTATCTTGAAGACTGTTTTTGCTGAATTAGAATATCGAAGTTACAATATTTACTTAATAATATATATGTAAAATTTAGTAATTAACTTAATCTATAGCTTCACGTACTATAAAATTGAAGCGTATTAATGTCGTGTGTCTTAACTAAATAACTTAAGCATTCCTTAATATCCAATTTAATAATGATATACATAAGCTAAAATCTTCTAAAAGAATTTCAAATGAAGATGATAAATATTTAGTTTAGAAGCCAATATTGAACATGAATCTTTTTAGTTATTTCAAAGAAAACATAGGTATTATTAAATGATGTCATTGGCAACAATCATGAAATATAACTCCCATAAAATAGTTAATAATCTCAGACAGTTAGACTAAAAAGACAGTAAAAGACTAAATAATACGATTTTACTCTAGTGACTGGTGAGTTGTGTATATTGTGAGCTTAAAGTCGTTGCACAATGCGAACATCATTTATAGTAGTGTAACTACTAATTCTGAAATAATTGATGAATGAAAAAAAAAAACAAAGACTGTGATGTTGTCTAGCGTAGTGGAGGTGAAGGCAGATATGGTCTACCTTGTCGCCACGTGTCGAGAAAACTGCGTCGCTTTATCGCGTTTTCATTTTCTGTTTTGTTTTCTTCCTTTATCTTGTCTTTTTCTTTTGTTTACTTTAAAGTCTCCACGTGAAGGAGGTGGTTCCCTTAGATTGAATCACGTGTTCGGTTGTCCTCTTCCTCGTTTCTTGTATTGTTTTCTCTTGTTTCTATTAGTCGTCACTTAGTTATTCTTGGGCCAAATTGGGCCTAGCTAATTTTGTCACACACTTGTTGACCCAATAGAATCTTTTAGACTGTAGCCAAGAGATAACTTTCGTTCAACATCTTAGCCCAATATGAATATCTGAAAAACAAATACTATATTTTGTTTTTAAAATTATATTAAAAGAAAATTTTATTGAAATATGATTCTGATTTCTCTTAAAAACATGTATTTAACGCTATCTGAAGAACTAAACTGATATCAAAACTATCACATACTCCCGTATGTATATTAACTTATAAATCTTTGAAAGAAATGAGATTTAATAAGTATTAAACTATATAATATCTTAATAATTTCAAGTAAAAAAACATTATTTTTTTTTTTTTGAGAAAAAGTAAAAAAACATTATAATCTGTAAAACCCACTCTAACATTAACGTACAGCTATTCTTTGGAATTTTCTACAAGTTCATAAAAATAATATAAATCGGAGTAACCCAATAGAAAACTTATCAATGTCTGGTTTCCAGTTAGAGCATCTCCAACCCCACTCCAAAATCCACTCCAAACTCTATTTTGTAGTAAAATCATCTCCAACCCTACTCCAAAACTCACTCCAAAATGGAGTAACAAACATGATTACTCCAAATATGGAGTAAACCAACTCATTACTCCAAAATGGAGTTGAACTTTTTTATTTATCAAATAGTCCTCCACATTTATATATGTTTCATTTTTAATAAAATATTATTATAAATAAGTACTATATATATTATAAG